CCAAAGGCAATCACAGTGATGGCAGCACCGGCAACGGCAACCGGCAACGGCAACGGCAAGACGTGAGAACACCAGCTCGTTTACAGATGTGCAACGGCATAAAAGCCACACGACAGATGCCTTGTCGAGCCACCAAAGCAGTCGAACAAACCAAACAAAAAGGGAGTTGACGAACACATCGACAACATCGCCATCGACACAACCAACGAGCTACACAAGACTCCGCGGCAGTCAATCAACGGGTTTACCTTGAAGCATGTTCTTGACGGTGACGCTCATACGCACGACCTTCATGGGGACGGTGAACTCGCGGTCGTCCGAGGACTTGATCTTGACCTGCAGGTCGTCCTTAAGCACGGCGTCGGACATGGCTGAAAAGGAGTTTTGGGGGGGGGGAAGGGCAACAGGAGAAGAGACAAAGGCTGCGTTGATTGCAATGTGTTGTTGTGTTGTTGTTGTTGTGGGTTGTTGTGGGTTGTTGTGGGTTGTTGTGGAAGTGGTGAGAGTGGTTGTGTGAGTATGAATGTTCTGAGATGATGAAAAGAGGAAGAACAACACGCGATCCAGGGAACAATGGTGTTATGTTCGCATCCACCAAAAAAGGGATGGCGAGAGAACGGACCAAAGACCCGGCAGCACTGACACGTTGCACACACTCACAAAGGAAATGAAAAGAAAGAGAGGGAGAGAGAGAGAGTGTGTGTGTGTGTAAGTCACAAAAGGTTCAAACGCGAACGAACACCGTCGCTCGAAGCTGAGTCAATACACACACATACACATCGTGAGGGGACAGGAAGTTCCCGCCCAAATTACACACACACACGATATTCAAAACAGTCATTGAAAGCCCATTCACTGTTGGCGTCGGCGGTGGCGCTACGGCGACCATCACACACCACATGGCAAGTACGTGCCTCGATGCTGGTGATGAGCGGAGCACATCGACAACATGACCCAGCTACAACAGCCAGCGAGAACCATCAACCGCCGCCTTCATCCCGCCTTCATCATCCCTCACCTGAACGAGATGGCGGGGTGGTTGGCAGGCGGCGAACCTGAGCGGGGAATGCTGTGCGTGTTTGCACCTGTCAGGCTGTTTGCTTTGCTTTTGCTTGGGGCGCGACCCACAGGAAAACGTTCGCCCCAACACTCACTTCAGGGTGTTAAAAAAAGGATGTCCACGCTTTACTACTAATTATGGTGCCGATAATGGGTG